AAAGAGAGACAACTTCACCATCAGATGTGAGAATTAAATAACCATGGGTGTTTTGAAACTCTTTAAGGAGTTTTCTTTTATGTAAAGGTGAATAACAACACCTACCTCAGAGATTGGTTTTGAAGATTTAATGAAACAATGTATATGAAACATGAAGCTGTATCCAGCACCCAATAGGTCCTTTTGATGCACATTCCTTTCATTTTCTATCTTAGTCCTTTTCTCGGCTTCACAATTTTGCCCAGGGGGGTGGTATTACCTCTAACAGAAAAACATAAAATAATCAAAGTTAAGACAAAGTTCATGAAGAAGGGGAGAGAGTTATCATAGCTATAAATATGATTCAAAACCCAAGTTATATTTCATGTCAAAAGTTGAATAGGACCTTTTACGACTGAGTACTCAAATGTGATTTTAGGAAATTCCTGATATTGGCAGAAGAATGTGTAAAATTCCGCTTTGACATTTTCCACAGTGGTACTTTCAAATGTTTCCCAACAACTGAAGCCTATAATCCACCCTTTCCCCAGCCAATTATTTGTTTCCCAGGAACTCACAAGATTGAAGCCATATGGGTACACATTCTTAAATCCGCTCATTGTCACACTATAATCCTGTGTTTACTAGCATCTTTTCTTCCTCCTTTCCAATATCAATCCTTAGTCCTCTTAGTCCCAGCTTTTTGAAGGGAAGGCCATGTCATTCATTTTAATAACTCCAGCAGGCCAGGTACAGTGTCATGGACATAATTTGTACTTAACAAAAGTTGATTAAGTAGGTGGAATTGGAGTTCTCAATCCAGGTATGAAAATTTTCAGTCTGAACAGGAGAATTAGGACTATACACATTGAAATAAAGGAGCAGATAGTCATTACTCAGGTTTTGGTGATTTCCAAATAGACCTGTTAGAATCGAAAGAGAAAGCCTCACTCCTTCTTCCTTTGACTTTTATCTTTTACTATCTGAAATTATATTGTTTATTTATTTATGTCTGTCTTCCATACTAAAGTGTAAACTCCAGGGACATGAATTAATTTTTTAATCTCAAGTTGTAAAACAGTGTCTGCCACATAGCAAATACTCAATAAAGACTGACACACACACACACACACACATACACACGGAGACAGAGAGACAAAGGGAGACAGAGACAGAGCAGGATTCAAACTCTAGCTGCACATTAGAAAGAGAACAGAAAAAGTAGCAGGCAGTTAAGCCACCTAGTAAATAAGGGTCGTGGGGTGGAAGAGGCTTTGTAATTTAACCCATTATCTGGATTCCCATGGTTCTTATTTTATACTCCTGCGTATCACCCTCTCCATTTTACCCTCTGCTTTCACTTCAATTTCGAAAACTCCAGTTACCTTGTTTTCCATGTACCTCATGATATTTTCTAATAAAGATGATTAAGTCAGTTTTTACATATTCTGAACACATTTCTATATCTGGATATTTCAAAGTCTAAAAGGCCACTCCAACATTCTGTCACATCTGAGTGTTCACCTTGGTATATTTAATGTGGCCAAGATACACAAGACACTAGCATTGATAAACAACGAGAAAGGAACAATTTGTGAATGGTTTCTGGAGGGCATTTTATAATCCCTTATAAACTCTTGTGTTGAGATTAAGCTAGAGTTGCCAGATTTAGCAAATAAAAATATTTGCGAGGCCCATTCAGTCCTGTTAGGGGTACTTTCTTGAAATGACAGTTTATACTTAACCTACTGATGAGAACTATGCTTCATGACCATATCTAACTACAAAAGAGGCTAAGAATACAGTCCTTATAACTGACAGTCTCATGTTGAATTAAAAATGGAAGACTGTTACTATGGAGGAAGGGGGAGCATATATAAAGAGTCAACAACCCATTTCTCAGAGAAGTGATGGGGGTAAGGGCATATTATGGAGGTAAAATGAAAAGAACTCGATTGAACCTGATACAGGGTTACAGAAGTAAAATCTTTAGATTTTGTTTCAACCATGCCAGTTAAGTCCCTTCTATTAGAAATGGAAAATACAAGAGAAACATTCAAATACATTAAGTGAATACTATCAAGAGTCCAAAGTACTATACAAATACCACAGAAATATGACTCAACTACATCTAGTAGGTGACTGTAGTTTTTTCCTTCTTCCACTTCTCTAAGACAGCATGATTAACTGCAAGTCTCCGTTGCTATTAATGTAGTGAAATAAAATGTTTAGCACAGTGTGTGGCACATAGTAAAAGTTCAATAAATTGATTAATACTTATTTTTTTTTTTGCCCACATTTTTTAACAGAAAAAGTGATATAGGAGATCAAATGGAAAAGTATGAAAGCTGACGTTTTTTTTTTTCAAATAGTGATTCTTTTTTTTTTTTTAAAGATTTATTTATTTATTTATACAAGCACTGGGTACAGTCAGAGACAAGGGAGGGTGAGAGAATTCACCAGAGCCAGAGCGGAGAGTAGAACAAGCAGAGTGACGAAGTACACTGCTGAGGGGAGCGCGGACGGCAGGAGAGGTCTGCACACCATGTGGGACCCTCACCAGAGGGCCGGGGATCGAACCAGTACTGCAGAGGCCGCGGGCAGCTTCGCAACCCAGCGCTCAACCTCTGCGCCACCGGGAAGGCCCAAGCTGATGTTTATTTTGCAAATAAGTGGCTATCTGCTGTGGTTACAGAAAGATGCACACATGGATACAGTCCTGTAAACTTGCTTTGCTGTAAACCAATTGCTTTCTCTTGGAAGAGAGAGTGGCCTTCTGACTCAGAGTACCCTTCTGGATTTCCTTGAAAATGAACTCTACAGTGTCTGGAAGGTGAGCCAGAAGAAAGACCCCGGAATAGAAATGAAAACTAAGATGCTCATAAACATCAGGGTTATAATATCAACCCAGTCATCCACAGCTTTAAGGTAACAATAACAGTGCAGCCATACTTCAGTTATAGAGCACTAAGAGTCAGAAACATGCTAAGTACTTTGAACTACACTGTTTCAACTCCAGGGTGGTGGATGAGGAGTTGAGGATAGGGACAGTGGGTACAGACAGGCTATCTAGGAGATGGTTCCCACCTCTGTAACTCAGATATAGTGGGGAAATATGATGGGGTAAAAAGCTGTGACGATGTAATAAATATGGAGAAGGGAGAGATTAAATACAAAAGAAGAGTTAAGGTTAATTCTAGAAGGGAGATTTGAGCTGTACTTTGAAAGGCAGGAAGAACTTTGGCACTTAGGGGAGAGAAGAACATTTTTTCAAGTAGAGGGAATATCATAAAGTGTGAAAGGGCTGCCTGTGAGTGACAATGTAAATCAAGCATGAGCGATGCAGTTGTAGAATAGAGACAAATTATGGAGGGTTTCTCATTGCAGGTCCATGACTTATGACACTATCGAAGGCCATCATTTTGAGCTTTAAACAAAGTAAAATGAGGATAGGTCTGTGTTCCAAGAAGGTGGCAATGGGAGAGGACAGACTGAAAAGGTATAAGATCATAGGCCTAGAGACCAATTCTGAAGTTGGTGTACTAATAAGGAGAATTGTGACACTAAATCTTGCATAAAGAATACAAATATTTTTGCAATAGCATTAATGAAAATTATTTTTAGTTTTTTATTAAGGGAGTGACCAGGGTAAATTATTTAAACTGAACCTCATCATATGTTCTCTAAAATACTGAGAAATGTTGATTACAGTTAGTTCTTGAAATGTAATCAATATTTGACCTGCACTCTGTCTATTGCAGCAATATTTAAACAGCCAAAATGTGGGAAACAAGCTAAATGCCCCAAAATAGATGAATGAATAAAAAAATTATGGTATATTTATACAATGGAATATTACTCGATGATCAAAAAAGACAAACTCATGCCATTTGCGGCAACATTGATGGAGTGGAAGGGATTATGCTAGCCGAAATTAGCCAGAAGGAATAAGATAAATTCCGAATGGTCTCACTTGTATGTGGAATACAGAGAAACCAAACGAAAAGGTCAAGAAAAAGTCAAAACTAGCAAGTTGACCATAGACCTGAGGCATACAACACAGGAGGGGGTGGGAGAGTGGACAAAAAGACAGGAGGGAAGAACATCAGGGAATATAGTGATAGTTCCTGGGTGATAAGGTGGGGGGAGAATTATGGGGACCACAGTGTATAAGAAAAAAATGTAATTAATAAAACATTAAGTTAAAAAAAATAAATAAAAATTTGAAAGGCACAGTGAATGCCCATTACACAGAAGGAGAAAAAAAAAAACTGGGAAAGTTCTTTCTTTTCCCTATTTTTAAAAACAACCTTAGGGCCTTCTACAACTTTTTTTGTTTGTTTTAACCCTTGGCTTTGTTCTACAATATTTCCTTTACCTGTCTGCTCTCTTCCCGTCCTGGAAACCTGCTCAGAACTTAGTCATGCCCCTGGTCTCTGCATCCCAGACTTCTGGATGGAGCCTTTCACACACAGTAGGCTCTCAACAATAAAAATACAGGTTGTGGAGGGTGAAAGAGGCAGCCGCCAACAGGTTGGGGGGAACAGGACATGCAGACGCCCAACTTCCTAAGACAGAAGCCCTGTGAGCGCCCATTGGGCACAGCCCCAGCCTTCTCCAGGGGTAAACCGGGTTAACTCCTCTTGAGGGGCGCGGGCTCAGGGATGATGAGAAGCCCAAGTGACTCACTTCCAACTCAGACCAGAAATCCCCCTCCTCCAGGCCTTCAGAGACTCCTTGGGAAATTCTAACCCCCATCACCCCCCTTCTTTGGTCCTTCTTCCCGCCCGGAGGAAGTCAGGGCGCCTTTTTCCAGAACAGACCCGGCAGTAGGCGGTCGCGGAGCAGGGCGGTGCGCGTGGGTGGGCGGGCCGGGGGAGGGGAGTCCAGGAACTTTGCGACTTATCCTCGGGGCCCGCGGTGACATTCCGCCAGCACCGCGCGGAGGTCAGTCCTTCCCGCCCGGGGCCGAGGGCGCGCAGCCTAAGACGCCCGCAGAGCCGCCGCCCGAGCCGCTCAGCTCGCCCCCCGCTGCCCAAGCGGCCGCGCGGACTGGACGGCGGTAGACGTGGCGGCGGACATGGGCCCCTTCTCGATGGAGCTGCTGCTGCAGCCGCTTTTCAGCTTCTCCACCGTGGCCTTAGTCGCCGCCCTGCTGCTCCTGGCCCTGTGCCTGCGCCCCGGGCGCACCAGGTAAGCGCCCCGCCGGCCCCGCCGCGCGGCCCCGCGGCTCCGGCCACGCATGCGCTCTGGGCCCCGCGGCCCGCGCGCGACCCAGAAGGCGAGGAGAGCCCCTCGGTGATTCGAGCGCAGATAGAACTTGCTGCGGGGCACTGGCGTCTTTGGGGGTCGTGCGTCATAACTAAGGCTTCTTCTGCCTCTTTGTCATACATACGCATACATATTAAAGCGTTGGGAAGGGATGCGAGTTGCGGCTCCAGTGTAGGTTGTAATAAGCCCAAGGTTTGCAGTTTGCATTATGCATCACGCTCGGCTTCCGAGCAGACACATTTTGGTGCCTGGTGACCGTGAGTTGGTGCTTGGTGGCCTACCAGGGAGGGGAATTTTCTTACATTTCGTCCAGTTAAATGTGAAAGGTTTAAAGAAAATGCCAATATAGGATATCAACAATAACCCGGTGGCTCGCTGTGCCTCACTTTATCTAATTTGAAAAAAAAAACGAAATAAAAGTACTTCATGGGATTTTTGTGAATGCTGCATGTGTTTAGAGAGTGTGTTTTACGCATCTGCTTTATACTTTTTTTGCACAAAAACAATAATCACTTCTGATTTGAAATTTGTCAATAGAAACAGAAGTTCAAAAGAAAATCATTTTCTTTGAAATCACTGTTTTCCCTTTTTTAAGGCGTAAGTAATTTTTTGATACTACCAGGCTCTTCATAGCTTTTGAAAAACAAAGCATGTAAATTTTATTCAGTGGTAATTGCTACTTTGTAATTATATCTCACATATGCATTCACATGCCTACATGTAATGAGTATGTGTAGGTATTCATACACATGTATCTGTAGATACATGTGAGAGTGATGTGATGTGGGTTTTTTCTTTATACTTTTGTGAAAATAGCACCATTTGTACTGCATGCAAGTGTTTATGGAAATTTCCAAAATGTCCATGGATGAATACTCTAGAAGGGAGATTTTACTTTTCATCCCATGTGAGTTTTCAGAGAATGTATTTCAGAAGTATGAGTTTCAAAGGGCATGGAATGCGCCCTGTTGTCTGGCCTTTTTCCTTTTCCAAAGGTTTTGATCTTGCCTGAGAGCTCAAGATGAGGATTTAGGACACTTTAAATTTCTTACTTGGTTTTATGTAGATTACACCTTCTTTTCTATCCTCAGTGTCACCCAAAATCAGTTAAGGTGTACTTTTAGGTATATCTTTAAAGAAAGGTAGATAAAAAAGCTATTTGTTCTAGTCCCACTTTACTTGCAGGGCTGGAGCAGGTAAGTTGACTAGGGCATTCTGGATCACTGATGATAATGGGGTAAGAATGTGGACCTTGGAGCAGTTGGAAAAGTTAAAGGGCAAAGTAGACTTTTTCCCCTCTGCGCTTTGAGAATAGGCTTATCTTTCTCTATACAAATAAACAACATTTTGCTGAGGTATTCAATTTTTAATTACTTCCTAATAGGAGCACTCTAATTCTACAAACCTACAGGGTACTGCAGCCTAGAGAAGTTTAATCTCAGTGTATAAAACATAACTTCATTTGTCCCAGTAAAAGAGTCATGTTCTTGTTACTATTTTTTATCCTTGGACATTTCACTCTAATGTTCTAGGAAAATGCTCTTCATGATACCACATTAAGAAAGCAGTATGTGTGTGTGTATGTGTGAGAGTCACATATATTCATTTTTTTTAATGTTTATTTATTTATGCATACAAGAGAAGGGGTGTAGACCAGAAGTGCAGGAGGGTAAGAGGATTCACCAGAGACAGAGAGGGGAGCAGAACAGGCAGATCTACTGAAGTATACTGCTAAGGGGAGCAGAGGGCCAGACAGGAGAGGTCTGCTGTGCCATGTGGGTTAACTCCCTGGCTGGAGATTAGACTGCCGATAGCTTCATAGTGCTGAGACTTAACCCCTTGCACCTCCAGGGAGGCCCCTATATTCTTTTTTCTTTTTATTGTTTCTATCCTTTTGGGGAAAGAAGCTTTTCTTCCCTTGCTATCATCCCTTCTATCACTTTGTCCCTTTCTTTCTCCCCCTTTTCCCTCAACATCAGAGCTCTCACAGTGTCTTCTAATGTCTAGTAGTTTTGTGAGCATTTTGCTTTATCAAATTTTCTTCTTTGTAAATATCTAGTACTTGTTTTGTCATTCTGACTTGCTTTACTATATATAATTCCCTCAAGTTCCCTTGCTTTTGTTGGAAATGGCTGCATTTAATCTTTCCTTATGACTGTATAGTATTCCATGGTGTGAAGATACCACATCTTCTTGATCTGGTTGTTTACTGATGGATTCTTAGGCTGTATACATGTCCTAGCTGTTGTTGATAGTGCTGCATCCTTATATGTTCTTATAGATTTTTTTATGCTTACACTAGTATGTTTGAATATGTTAATAAAAATGTAGGAAAATACATTCTGCATTTCAACTTTCTTTTTCCATTTTATAATGCATTTTAGATATCTTTCCATGTCAGGTTTTCATATTCCTTGAACCAATGATTCCAGTAATGTTATTTAAAGGAATTTCTCATGTTGAAGTAACGGTGAAGTTTCTTAAGATTTAACCACAGCATTGTTTATTAGGGCTATTTAAAACTGTGAAAGTAAGTGGGGGAAATGAAATTTCCAAAATATATTGGTTTAAAGAAATTCTAGGGCCTCCCCGGTGGCGCAGCGGTTGAGCGCTGGGTTGCGAAGCTGCCCGCGGCCTCTGCGGCGCCGGTTCGATCCCCGGCTGCTCCCCGGCCACCGGCGGAGGATCCCACATGGTGCGCAGACCTCTCCTGCCGCCCGCTGCTCCCCTCAGCAGTGTACTTCGGTCCTTCTGCCTGCTCTGCTCCCCGCTCTGGCTCTGGTGAATTCTCTCACCCTCCCGCGCTTCTGACTGTACCCAGTGCATGTGTAAACAAAAAAACAAACAAACAAACAAAATAAATAAATAAAACATGCCTCTATAAAAAAAAAAAAAAAAAAAAAAAAGAAATTCTAGCATAATCCAAACATTAGAAAATTATGTAGCCAAAGATATATAATGTAGACTATATGAAGATATGGAAAGTCCTATTCTAGATATACCAACTAAAAAAAACTGCAAACCAGAATAAGTTCATATGCAAAACAGGGTGTCAAAAACCTCCAGCCAAAGACCACTACGGACACACGGTTAGCTAAGTTGAATTATTGTAATAAGAAGCAAACACCATTCATTTTCAGTAAAAGAGTGTTAGAGATTACCTATTCATGAGAATTGGGCAGGTGTTGTATGATTTAGGGGAGGAATCAGGAAGCAAGGCTGTGCTCTGTTGTAAGATGCTGTCAGAAATGTGGGCTATTCTATATCGGACCTCTTAATAGCTGTCATCTGTAAGCCAGGAGGAATGGATTGAGGCTAAGTATATAATTGGTAAATAAACAACAAACTTCAAGTCTTAGGGGATGCTTGGTCATTTTACTAATTTAGAGCGTACTCATGATTTTGTAAATATGTATACATGATTGAGGATTGATCTTGTATTTGTCTTTATAATGGTCACCGAGTGATTTTGCTTGGCATTAATGTTTTGTGAAATTGTTTGTATTTAACAAAAGAGCATAGTGTCCCAGATGAGTGCCAAGCAGACTCCTTGATGTCAGGGACTGCTGTGTTGTTTTTCTTTTTAAAGATTTATTTATTTATTTATGCATGCAAGAACTGGGGTGTAAGCCAGAGGTGCAGGGAGGGGGTGTGTGTGTGAAAGGATTCACCGGAGACAGAGTGGGGTGCAGAACAGGCAGATCTACTGAAATACACTGCTGAGGGGAGCAGCAGCGAGACAGGAGAGGTCTGCTGTGCCCTGTGGGTTAGCTCCCTGGCTGGCCTGGGATCAAACTCGTGCTGCAGTGGCTGGCGATAGCTTGATAGCTTGATAGCACTGTCTTTAACCCCTAGGAAACTAGGGAGGCCCAGTTTTTTCTTTAATATAAAAGGGTGAAAGGAAATACCTCAGACATTTTAGGGGATAAAATTATATGCAATGAAATGTACAGATTTTAAGTGTACAATTTAATGCATTTTCATAAATTTGTACAGTTCTAGAACTATTACCCAGATAATTAAGTTCCCTCATGCCCCTTTCTAATCAGTTCCTGTGTTCTGGTTTAATTTTATCTGTTCTTTTTTTTTTTTTTTTTTTTTTAAAGATTTATTTATTTATTTATTTATTTATTTATTTATTTATTTATTTATACAAGCACTGGGTACAGTCAGAAGCACAGGAGGGTGAGAGAATTCACCAGAGCCAGAGCAGGGAGCAGAACAGGCAGAAGGACCGAAGTACACTGCTGAGGGGAGCAGCAGGCAGCAAGAGAGGTCTGCACACCATGTGGGACCCTCACCCAGCTGCTGGGGATCAAACCAGTGCTGCAGAGGCTGCAGGCAGCTTCTCAACCCAGCGCTCAACCTCTGCGCCACCAGGGGAGGCCCTAATTTTATCTGTTCTTGAACTGCATACAAGTGGGATTATGCAGTATCTCCTTTTGTGTATGACTTCTTTCTTTCAACATAAAGATTTGGAGATTCACCCATATTATTACATGTATCAGTATTTCATTCATTGCAGAGTAGTTTAACTTACAATTAAACAACACAATTTGGTCATCTGTTGTTCTATTATGGGTATTTACTTGTTTCCAGTTCAGGACTATTATGAATAAAACTGCTGTAAATATTCTTTTAAAGACTATTTGTAGATATAAACTTAGTTTTTTTTCTTGTATTTAAACCTTAAAACCTAGGAGAAGTTTGATGAATCATAGTGTAGACTATTATACCACAATCACTTTGGAAAGTTGACATGTTTCCAATGAAATTAGACATATCATACACTTCCACCAGTACTATGTGAAAATTTTAGTTGATCTTTATACTTTTCCATATTTGATGGGACCAGTCATTTGGATTTTTGTTGTCTTCTCCTAAAGAATGTTGACCTTTGGGGCCTCCCCGGTGGCTCAGCG